AGGCAACGCTCCAAAATCTCTACCTTCTGGCCAGTCCATGATCTCTTCCAGGATCCCTGGATGGTTGGGTTTCCCCAGTCGAGCCCGCTGCGTGATTAACGCGACCCATTTACTCCAGGTAGCGCTGGTTGCATGGTGTGTGGAAGGGATGTTTCCTTTGAACATCCAATGTAATACAGGCAACTGTGGTGCCAAGAGGAGCTGTGCTTCTGTACCAACAACTTCTGAAGCAGCTCGAACCCCCTCATGTGCTGCCAGTATCTCCTTTTCAGTCGGAGTGTAGGGGGCTTCTGATCCTCCATATCCCCGGCTCCAAAATCCTAATGGTCGACCTCGAGTTTCACCTGGTATCTTCTGCCAGAGGCTCCATGTGAGTCCGTGCTCCCCAGTTGATGTGTAAAGTATATTTTTCACAGCTGGTCCTGTCCGAACAGGCCCAAGAGCTACTGCCCGAGCTATCTCTTGTTTGATGTGCTCAAAGGCTTGTTGCTGCTCAGGACCCCATTGAAAATTGTTCTTCTTTCGGGTCACTTCACAGAGAGGGCTCACAAGCTGACTGTAACCTGGAATATGCATCCTCCAAAATCCCACAAGTTCTAGGAAAGCTTGTGTTTCCTTCTTGTTGGTCAGTTGCTGGGCACTGAGGGGGGGCTGCTGACGGGGTGGCCCCCACCCCCTGACCCACCCAGCAGGCCCCAGCATGAAGTCACCCAGACTCCCCCCGGGAAACACGTGGCACCTCAAAAAATGAGGTGGGAAATGGGGCAACCAGGGGACAAATTAGGACACAGGGGGCGTCCTGGGGGAAAAAGGGGGTTGGGGAGTGAGACACCCTCAAACCCAGCCAAAATAGGGAGGGGGGGGCACACATGAGCACCAAAGCACCCGAGGGGTGGGAGAAAAAAGAGCCCCCCAGGGGAGTTGCAATCCCCCCAAAGGGGGCAAATTAGGGGTCAGGGATGGGGTCACAAAGGGCCACCAGCGCCTGGGGTGGCCAGGGTGGTGTCCCAGCCCCCTCACAACCCCCCGGGGCTCCCATACCGCCCCCCCTGGTTGAGGGGGGTCCCACCTACCCCATGGGGGGCCGATAGCTGGGGCCTCACAGCGGAACCTTCTTGGGGAAGGCGCCGAGCAGCTTCAGGACCCGCCGCCTCCAGGAGAGGAGCCACCTCTTCTGCGTCTCTGTGAACGCCTTGAGGATGGGGAGCGGCACATGGGGGGGTCACACAGCCCTGTAGCGTCCCCACAAGCCCTACAGCCCCCCCAAATTCCCACCAGCCCTCCCCCGTACCTCGTGGCTCAGGCACTTCTCGAGGAGCTGGAGGTAACTGGTGATGTTCTCCTCATCCATCCACGAATTCAGGAGTTGGGTGCAGACTAGGGTGGGGTCAGGGAGGGGCCCAGACACCCTGACTCCCCCCCGGCATCACCCTGGGACCCCCCCCCAAAAATGAAATGGGGTGGGAGGGGATGTCTCACCTCTGTCCATGACATGGGTGAACTGCCCCCGGATGTCCCTGTCTGGGACGGGGGCTGCGGGGGCTTTGGCGTCGGTGGCCGGGTGGGGGGCGAAGGCATCGGTGGCCACTGGGGGGGCCCCGACGGAGGTGTCGTTTGGGTGGGGAGCGGATAAGGGGAGGGGGGGGGGCGAAGGGCTTTAATGGGTGTTGCTATGATCTGTTGGAGGTTGTCCCCCTCTAGGATGTCCTGTAGGGTGTGGGGGTCGTGTCAAGGAGTAGGGGGGGACTCGTGGGGACCGCAGGGGGGATCAGGGACACACCCCCCCACCCCGAAGTCCTGGGGACACAGGGGGTGACCAGGGACATCTTGTGCCAGTGCTGGGGACACAGGGAGGGGTGTCAGGGATGGGAGAGACACCCCTGGGGATATGAGGACAGGGGACACCCTGTGTCACCCCTGGGACAGGAGAGGACAAGGGGCACTCTGGGTCACCTTTAGGGATGTGAGGGGGAGCAGGGACATCCTGTGCCACCCTTGGTGACACCAGGATGTGGGGGACACCCTATGCCAGCCCTGAGGATACAAGAGAATGGAGGGACACCCCGTGCCAGCCCTTGGGCTGCAGAAGGTGACATGGGCCACCCTGGGGCCACCTCTGAGGACCTGAGAGCCACCCTGGTGCCACCCCAGGCGACCCGAGGGCCACCCCGGGGCCACCCCAGGTGTTGGAGAACGGCTTGCAGAGAGCAAGGCCATGGCTCCCTGCGGGAGCTGGTCGGCCATAGCTCCCTGCAGAAGTCGGTTGCAGCCACCTGAGGTAAACAGAGGAAAGAACCCAGCGTACATTGATGATAACAAGGATTGTTGTGAGAACGGGGAGATAAGTTGGGGCACATTATGACCTTGGGGGTCAGAGGAAAGCAGCCCTGGGAGAGAAGCAGGTTCACAGCAAGAAAGATGTTTATGCATACCAGAGATGCCACAAGGGGCTGGGATATTATAATGTGACCTTTTAGATGTACCCAATGGCTGAGATATTATAATGTAGTTTCTTAAATGTATCCAATAGAGTTACAGGTAGTGTATTGTAGAGTGCTTATATAAGGTGTGATTTCTATCAATAAAGTTGAAGCTTGCTCTATCATTCACATTGAATCGGCTGCTTGCTTCCTCCGCCCGCCGCACCCAAGGGACTTGAGGTCCACCCCGTCACCGTCCAACCTTCTCCAGCGCCCTGAGGACACTCAGCCGCTCCCGCAGCCTCTGGATGCTGAGGAGGATCCTCTGCTGCACGCCCTCGGTGACATTGTGCAGGGACAAGGAGGGGACAAGCAGGTCAGACAGTGTCCCCCCCCTTCATTTGGGGACATGGCAGGGGGGACGTCTCACCTGTGACTCGAGGTGATGCTCCGTCAGCGTCATCATCTCCTTGTACGTCATTTGGGAGAAAAGCGCCGTGTATTTGTGCAGCCCCGGGCTCTTCAGCCAGGAGGGGACATCTTGGGGCGGACAGGAGTGTGACATGGGGTGGCACGTCCCTATGAGTGCCCCTGTACTGGGTCTGGCTGAACTGGAATTGGTTTTCCCCTACAGCAGCCCTCACGGTGCTGTGGTTTATGCTGGGAGCTGGCAGGGTGTTGATAGCACCCTGGTGTAGTGGCTACTGCTGAGCAGTGCTTACACAGCACCAAGGCTCTTTCTGATATTTGCCCCAGTGGGACAGGGTGGGCAAGATCTTGGGAGGGGACACAGCCAGGACAGCTGACCCAAACCGACCAAAGGGATATTCCATACCATATGACGTTTGCTCAGTAGAAAGCTGGGAGAAAGGAGGAAGGGGGTGGGGTCACCCTTGGTCCTCCGAGGCAACCACTACGCGTATTGGAGCCCTGATCCTGAGAAGGCCCGACATCGCCTGTCCATGGGAAGTAGAGACTAAATCTGTTTGCTTTTGCTTCCGCGCGCGGACTTTTGCTTTGC